AAATGAAAAACAAGGGAGCATACAAGAAGGTTCTATATCTGTAGGAATTTGGGGAAAAAATTATTTTCCTGAACAACAGTAGGAAGGGATATATTTAAACAATCCCTGCTGCTCTGCTTTAAAGCTGATCTATGCTAGGATTTAGGGCTGAGGAGCTGCACAACAGCCTAGATTGGTCTGAGGTCCACTGGCCATTTCCAAACAAGTCACCACACTTTAGAAAGCCATTTTGCATTCACAGGTAGCATCAGACTGTATGAATGCTGGTGGCCTGCTAAACTATTACCTTAATTTTAAGTTTTCCTTGGGCTTTTTCTGGTATCAGGTAAAAAAACAAACAAAACAAACAAACAAAAAGCCTTGGGGGATTATATTTAGCAGGATAAAGAAAAAACAAACAGGGAATAGTACTTACACAAGCATAAGGGATAATAAAGAAAAAATGACATTAGAAGACATTGCCTATTTCCCCCCCCCACGTGATTGACTGTCAGGTAGTGTGGTTAGGGAACTAAGGTTAGAAGTCATGACTTGATTCCTTACCTTGGAGTCTATTTATATTTATGTTTACACCTTTCTAAAGGAGTAAAGAGACATGCTTTGTTTTCTTTGTTCTCTTCCTTACGATTCCACTTAGTATCTAAGGACCAGAGTTAGGAAATAGCATGATGGAAAAATAAACACCAATAAGTAGTGCTATGCCCCTTTTTCTCTACTAGCAGCACTAACAGGATTGCAGAACCTCATTAGGTTTGCAGAACACTGTAAGAAGAACACGTGCAGATTTTAATTTATAAGTCCTTGCTGTGCAGTCTGAAAAGAAAATCTATATTTTTTAAATGAAATACAAAGGCAGGGTTGAAACACAAGGCCAAATGGAAAGAAGGCTTGTTATTTCTCCATCTTGGAAAACAAGGCTCAGTAATGTTTTAAGTAGCCCAGTGGCAAAAAATTAAACAGAAATACATCAAGTAGTGCCAGAGATTTTCCTGGGGTAAAGTACACAGGAAATGTCATAAAGCAAAACCTGCCTTAACACCATCCAGTTCACTTAATGAAATATGCATTAAAAAAAAAAAGCCTGTAAACTAATAGGTGGGTGAGGAAAGGGGAAGTAAAGGTATGAAATTGTTCTTTTTCTCATTTTGTTTCTAATCTTTTAATTAAGTGAAATGGATTTCAAGATGAGTGAGTTTGAAAAAATTATCACGAGGTTACCTGCATTAATCTCCTTAGGCTAATATTGATGATAATAATACCATAAAAGAACAATATCTTGAAAAGTAATTTTTGATGTTTTTCACCCATTATGAAAGCTATCATAATAATTTGGTTAATAAAATATGTTAAGCTAGCATATTTTAATATATTCTTCTGTGTTATACAAGTTTAGAATAACTGAGAAATATAATTCCTACAATAAGTTGAACCCATGCACTGATTAGCTCTACACTAGAGCTGACCCAGGAGCTCCATAACATTTGGGTGGGTACTGGGTCATCTGGTATGCTGAGTCCAATTTAGGAATTCAGGCCTATTTTAAGATGTATGAATGTATTCATTGATTTTAATGATTTATTAACTTCTTTCTGTAGGATGTTGGTGAGTTTTGTATCTGTATCTAGGAAAGTCCAGGCAGGTCCTTAATTTGGGAAGAGGGCAAGGAAAAACTAAGAGTTTGAGCATGTCATGGTGGAGTAGCTTGACTAGACTAACCCTCTCACACACGCAAAAATTAAACTTTGGACAAAATATTAAAAATTTTCTAAAGGTAATGGAGAGTGACCAAAAGTACACAGAAACTTGAGGGGAGTTAATTCTAGTAAGAAGGGAATCATATTTTCAACTTTTTTTCAACTTAGGGCAGGCCCCAGGCAGTGCCACTAAGAGTCATTAAAACTCATATAGAAACCTTTAGTCTTAGTAGTTGAGGAATCTGAGGACAGAGTTCAGAGTAACCAGAGTCTAGAAAAATCCTGAAAAAGAAGAAAGCCACAGGGGGTAGCCATACTGCCCAAATCTCTCACTGATCTCAGAACTCCACATCTTTGGGGCAGACTTCAAGCAGCCCAGCTAAAACTGAAAGAACTGAAAGGATATTTCAGCTGTTGCCCACTGTGGGGAGAGAGAATTTGGAGCTTGAGGTCAACCATATTAACTGCCTACTAAACAACAAAGATTCTTCAGAAGGACAAAACAGAATCCAGTTTCTATAATGTATTATTCACAATGTCCAGGATACAGTCTAGTTATATCAGACATATGAAGAAACATACTAAAAAGAAAAGGCAATCAGTGGTGACTGATCCTGAGATGATCCAGAGGTTGGAATTAGAAGACAAAGATTTTTAAGGTAGCTATTATAATCCTGCCTAAAAACAAAAACACCAAAAAAAGACTTTTAATGAATGGATAAGAAATTTCAGCAGAGAAAAAGAAATTATAACAATAGCAATAACCACAGGATCAAATGGATTCTAGAAGTGAAAAATAGTGTCTGAGATTAAAAAATCACCAGATGGGTTTAATAGCAGTTTAGAGATGATAAGAGTCAGTGAACTTGAAGATAGAAAAATCAAAATGATCTAATCTGAAAATGTGTGAGCAGTCAAAATTGGGTGGGGGGAGCTTTTTGTTTGTGCTTCTATTGTATATAACCTTCCTTTTGATAAGGTTACTAAACTAGTAAATCAGGGGAATGTCTGATCAGAATGTATCTTGGTTTTGATAGTGCTTTAAACAAAATTTCTCATGATACGCTCATGCACAAGATGGAAAAATGTGCACCACATGACTATATGTAGAAACATTCATTCTTGATCTCTGCCACTCTCCCAGACTAACTTCATTGCATAATGGGGGTTCTATAAAGTGCAATGCTGGAAACAGGGAAGGAACACTCACCTATCACCTGCAATTTTTATTCATTTGTTGTCCTCCTTCACTAGTGTATAAACTCCATGAGGGCAGGCGATGCCTATTTTTAATCTGTATCCTCCAGTTGCCAGGACCTGTAATTAGTGCTGCTCTCTCAAATGGGGGCAAGAACTGGGTGAACATGAGGGTGAGCATGGTGACAAGGAGTCCAGGAATATACTATGTTCAGAAATTCAGGCAGACAGAATGTTTGTTCCAGGGAAATCAGTTGGCCGGCAGATGGTCTTTGGTACCAGGCTACTGATGGAAGTAAGACTTCAGTCTCTTGAGGGTAGTGTTTCTCAAAGTGTGGTTCAGATCACTTGCTTCCGAATTACCTGGAGTGCTTGTTAAATGTCAGTTTTGGGGACTAATCCTAGATATGCTAAGCCTGTACCTCTAAGGATGGGTCTTGGAAATCTACAGGTACCCTAGGCGATTCTTTTTTTTTTTTTTTGCGGTACGTGGGCCTCTTACTGTTGTGGCCTCTCCCGTTGCGGAGCACAGGCTCCGGACATGCAGGCTCAGCGGCCATAGCTCACGGGCCCAGCCGCTCCGTGGCATGTGGGATCCTCCCGGACCGGGGCACGAACCCGTGTCCCCTGCATCGGCAGGTGGACTCTCAACCACTGCGCCACCAGGGAAGCCCCCTAGGCGATTCTTATGTATATAAATTTGAACTGTTTCTTTTTAGAGGTTGGGGAGCTGACAAAAGCAAGGACTAGACTAAGTCCTAGGGCAGGTTTCACAATCTTGGCACCATTGACAGTTTGGCTGGATAATTCTTTGTTGTAAGGGAGTGCTGTCCTGTGCATTGTAGGATGTTTAGCAGCATCCCTAGTTTCTAACCCTCTAAATGCCAGAGTACCCCCTGTTCTCCCAGTTGAGATATCCAAAAATGCCTCCAGACATTCCAAAATGTCCCCCAGAAGGCAAAATAGGCCCTGCTTGAGAACTGCTGCTTTGGGGGATCAGAGTAGTAAGTATCCAAGGATCAGAAGAAGGAGAAAGCAATATGGGGGAATGTCCACCTATTGGAATTGGAATGCCAAGTTAGGGCCAGAGCTACAGCAAGAGCTTCTCCTTTATAAGGCTGATGTTGGTAGCTTAGCTACCTTGCTGTAGAGGGGCCATGTAGTCTAGAGTTGGTGACAGATGGAATATAAATATAAAAGCTGAGAATTAGACAAGGTGTGGCACCAGGTCTCAGTCATGGCTGTGCATTGGAATCAATGTGGAATTGTAAAAACATAAAAATGCCTCAGCCAACCTTAGTTCTTCTGAAGCAGAATTTCCAGTGGTGAAGTCCAGGCAACTGGTACACAAGCTGGTTTGGGAACACTCACAGAGTTAGATGACATCCTGAGTACTGTTTTCAGGAACTCAGAAAGAGAGAGGCTAGGAATAAAACTGTCTCAGCATAGCAGACCTCAGCAATGCTTAGTGTCTGAGCCTCTTTAGTAGCTCCCATCCCATCCCATCCCACACGTGAGGATGAAAGCATTATATAAATACATACCCATTGTGGCTAAACTGTCCTAAGTAGGGAATTTCCCCAATCTTACTCTTATCCTCTGTTCTGAACCTACTTGCTCTTTTGTAAAATGTTTCCTGTTCCCATCCCACTGCTTAATACCCGATTTCTTTCTCTCTGTGCAGCCCCCTTGTCCTGATATTTGTTTGGCTTGTGTGTGATTTGGGCAATATTTAAGAGGTAGAATCAAAGCCTTGCTGACTGGATTGGGAGTTTCTAATTTCCTTTTAAAGGTACTGATTAGGCATCTATTGTACTAAGTAATGCAAAGTAAGACTGTAAAGCAATAAGACAGCTTCCACAAGCTGCGCAAGAAGCATCAGTTTCACAGAGTAGCACTTCATGCTTTATGACAGGAAATCCAGAAAAGAAGAGAATTCTGTGGTACTTTAAGTGTGTACTCTAAGTTTCATTTCCATGTGAAATACTGCAGTTGACTAAAAAAGTACATCCATGGAGAATCTCAATTAAACTTGATTAATCTTGGTTAAATCTAGCAACTGGTTCAGCA